AATTGCAGTTAAATATAATATCAGTTTATAACATTTTTGAAAGAATTAATAAGCTAAATTTAATTATATAATGTAAAGTATCCATTTTTATCTCTTTACGTGCACACATAATTGGTTGGCACACTCGAAAACAGGTGTATGTATATATCCATAGGGCTGGACAAAACTACCGAATCGAACCGAACCGAACCGAATTTGAACCGAACCGAACTCGATGGTTCTTTCTCAAATTAAATACCCGAACGGGTATTTGAATCAAGAACCGACGGATACGGTTTGGTTCTGGTTCTAGGTCAAGACCCGAAGAACCGAATAAGAACCGAATCTCCTTAATTTTTTTAATTTAGTTATTTTAAATAAGCAAAATTATTTTATTTTTTCTAAATAAATTTGTTAACTAGTTGATTTAGTTCAAACCACAAAATATGATTTTTTTATTTCTAACTTTCAGTTCAAAATCAATTTAATCAAATTGACCTCAATAGTGTCGTTTCTACTGTAGAAAATCGAATTAAAACTCTACAACATCTCCTTAATTACTTTGAACTCACTATCTTTTTCTTCCTGCGATTTTAATAATCAAATTTATGTAGAATTCAGTAAAGAGAGACGTAATAGACACATAAGATTGGACTACGTTATTTTGTAAGAGCTAATATTGAACATATCATTAATTAAATTAATGTAACTTTGTATATATTAAAAAATTTAATTATAATACGGAACCGAATGGAACCAAACTGGACCGAATCGAATCGAATCAAATGAAACCGAACCCGAACGATTCCATAATTAAATTTGAATCCGACGGTTCCACTTACTAAATACTCGAAAATTTCGGATTGATTCGATTCTCGTTAGAATCGAACTGAACTGGATCATGTCGAACCCTATATATCCATTGGAGTGGCCAGTTTTATGGTCCCATAAGGGCAATTACAATAAACTGTAGATCCCTCTCTCTCTCTCCCTCACCCGCACCCCCACCCCAATTACAGTAAAGTGTAAGTGTAAACCCCTCACTCTCTCTCTCTCTCCCCCCTCGGCAATTTGCGTAATTTGCAAACCAACTTTATTCTCTGCCATTTCAGCTGGTTTCGAATTTCAGATGCTTTCTACTCTCTCTCCTTAGGGTTTCACTTCTCCTGGTGGAGGTTATCATCTCTTCTTCCTTGAATTTGTAAATGTTACACTGTTGAAGATTTTTATTTTGTACAAAAAAAGCTGAATGCTTCTTTTAACTGTGATTTTCCTTATTATTATTATTATTATTATTATTATTATTATTATTATTATTATTATTATTAATTTTTTTTTTTTTATTTTTTTTCGCAGTGAGTGTACGGTGAAAATGGTGAGACAGAAGATTCAGATCAAGAAGATTGATAACTTGACGGCACGCCAAGTGACCTTTTCAAAGAGAAGAAGAGGGGTTTGTAAGAAGGCTCAAGAACTCTCTACACTTTGTGATGCTGAGGTTGCCCTTATTGTTTTTTCTGCCACTGGAAAACTCTTCCATTATTCTAGCTCAAGGTTCTCTAATTTCCTCTCTTCTCTAGCTCCTGAACAGACACACACAACATGCTACTGTGGTCGAAGCTTTGATGCTTTTGGCGACTGAGTTTCAATCACTTAGCTCGTTTTGTATTGAAAGATTTTAATGGGCTGAAACCACAGTAAAAATGATCGAGAGACCATTCTTCTGAGAAAGTGCGAATTAAATGGGCAGTAGTGGAAATTATAAGGTAGTAAATTGTAGCTCGTTTATGGATGCAAATAATCTACAAGTGTGATTAAATAATCGGACAGAACTAGAGACGAAGGGTACACTGATATATATCACATGTTTTTCTCCTGCGTGCATTTCTAAACTAGCTTTTGGTGAAGGTGGTGTTCGCTGGGGAGGATGTAGAATTGAAACAACAATGATCATGTAGGAAAATGTGAACACTAGGTGGTTTCAACAAAACTATTGATCATTGATAGTGGGCTAATGCTATTAAATTTATTCATATGAGAGATGGCTTGATTTCTGTGTTATTTTTTTAGGGTTCATGCTTTGTAAGTAAAATTAGCATAATTAAGTTTAGAAAATATGTAAGAAATTAGTTGTTTTACTATCCAATTTTGTCTTGTCAAGATCATAATCCTTTCGGCATATGTTTTACAAGTTCTTAAGTTGAAGTTTTTAGCTACCCATAATTATGAACTTTTTTCGCATGCCTCGTACCTTCAAAAAGAAAATAAAGATTAGAGCTTCCAAACGATTGGATTGGTTCAAAAATCCATTGTTTACTGTTCAATCAGATATTATATTTCACAGTTACTTTGGTTCTGTTGGTTGCTCCAGATTCTTAAACAAGACATAAACCTATTGAAGTTTCAAAGGTTAGCATCTCACATCTGTATATGGAATGGAAAATCTTTATATAAGGATCTGCAAGTAATAATCAATATCTATGAGGGCACTCAATTAATTTATGTTATCTAATAGCTTAAATGATTATATATTCTAACGCTCCAAAGTAGCATTAAGATGTGATTCTTGTTAGCACCTGAAAGGAAAAAACTGAAAACTTAAATATAGCTTGTTAACTTATATTCTACTTGCTTCCATTTTGACGTACTCTTTCTTTTCGATATAATTAATGAAATGTTTGGGATTGGTAGATGATGCAGGTGGTAAAGAGGTGCTAAACTAGTTGGGATATCTAGGTGCCCACATTGATTCCTATTTTCAACCATCTTACTCACAGATTCTAGTGTTTAGTATGGTTAAATTGTATGTATTAAAGTAGGAAGAAAAAAAAAAGAAAAATCATTCTATCGAGTTCCATATTGGGTACCAAACATTTATTAAGTCATACTATTGTGTTATATATTGGTACCAAACATGAATTCTATTAACTTTTGATTTTGTCTTCCCCTAGTTTAATTATTTGGAAATATTGTTCCCCTTTGTTTATTCTGCAGCATGATGCAACTAATTGAAAGGCATAGAAGGCAATCAGAAAACTCAGACAAATTAGGGCAACCATCTCTTCAACTTCAGGTGAGATGACAACTTTTATAGGCAACTCGACATTATATTTGTTGTTCGTGTTTATACTTCATTTACTAAAATTATAACAAAAAGATAAAAGATAAAAGATGAATAGAACATCGACTTCAACAATGCTGTCCGTTAAACATTGCCATGTGAGTTTAAATATTGCAAACAATATTGTTGCTTAAAAGTCTAGTTAAGAATTATGTATAAAATTGGTTTTATATTTGTGCTGTAGGATGATTGATATGAATAGAAAGTTTGAGGTTTTTCTTCAATTATCCACCTAAATGATTAGTTCGTGTTCGAATTTTCTTATGTTATTTCGTATTTGTTTTTGTTTACGCTTCCACGTGCATCAATTTGTGTCATAGCCCACTTTATGCTCTTAAAGATTGTTTGAGAAGGACAAGTTAGACGTCGTAGTGTAATGGTTGATAATGAGAATCATAGCAATGAGCTAAGACAAATCTGCCAACATCTTGAGGTCATGGCACAAAAGGTGGCTAGATAGGTTATCTCTCCATAACATATGTTGGATAACCTTTATGATCATCGACAAGATGCAGAAGTTGGTGGCCGCAATGTGCAGGTTGCCACTGCCTGAGGCTGGTGCAATTGTCGTAGTACTGAGCCTAATTGTGGACAAAGTTACAAATGGAAAAATCAAAGATTGAGAGTGTTCAGCGATTGAAGGCCAATTCTGGTTATGGGATTGGCGAGAAACCCCATGTTGAAACATCAATTCAGAGTGTTGTTCGTCTATTAAGATGGAGTCTTATACAAATCCATCATACTTAGAGGAAGAAATGCTGTTGAGATTCTTGAGAAGAAGTTTGAGAAACTCAACATGGATCAATATTCTGACTTCACGAAATTATGGAAGTTGGTAAAATTGAAACCACATATGATGCAAATGAAATTTTTTTTCGCATTTGAATGATTGGTTTTCAGTAGAACGCCACTGGCTGAAAAAGTCTTAGAATCAAATACACTTCTGTAAACATTTTGAAATCCCAAAAATTTTCACGCAACAACTACGAGTGTTTGGATGAATTTGTTGAGATACAATGGGATAGAAATGGAAAAGATAAATCTGTTAATTGATTTTGCACGAAAAAAAATTGATTTGTTGACCGTTATTTCACTATTTCAGCCGCACTTTTTGATTTCTTTACCCACAGGTGGTTTCCACTTTTCTCCTAACGGTCAAAAAATTAAATCTCAAAATCAATACCGAAAAGGCCCTTATGTTATTCACATATCAATTGAATCAATGACTCTAAAAGTTGTCGGATGAGTGACGATAGATTCAAGGACTAATCCCATTTAATTTAATATTTTATTGTTTAATTTTTGTTATTGTTAATTAATTAAATGCGTTTGATTGCCAATATTTTCCATGAAAAATGTGTTGTTTCACCAAAATTCTTATTTTTGTACTATTTGATTGACATTTTTTTATGGAAAACATTTTCCTACTTTTAGTTACGTGACCATATTTTTTTCAAAATCAAGGAAATATTTTCTTTAGGGAGAGTAGAATTTTATTTTTCAGGAAATTCACTCTTTCTTTTTCTCTTTCATCTATCCACTCTTCTCATCTACTCACCTATTAAAATGGACAAGTATAATATTTTCTGGATTGAATTTATTTATGACAATTTTCATGTAAATAAGTTCTAGGAAATTGAATTGCATAGAATTTATTTTCTTTCCATACAAATTTTATACTTGCAATCAAACGCACTCTTAGTCTTTTATCATTTTATGTCTTTTATGAGTTTTATTTTCTAGAGTTTGTTTTGCTTTATAAGTCCAGTTAGAAGTTTTATATATAATTGGTATGTGATTTTGATGATTGATTTTGAATATTGAATTAAAATTTGGATTTTAATTCAATATTATCCACCTAAATGGTCAATTATTATACAAACTTCTTTTTGCATGTTGGGCTAATTATTGTCAAACGATCCTCGGGTTGTGATATAACTTAGTATATTTTCTCAACGGCATCAACTAAATGACTTAATTGTAAATCGATAACTCAATGAAATGACCTACCCCTAAACTATTTGGGACATTTGAAGTAGCCTAATTTTAATTAGTGCTGCTCATGGCCCATTTCCACTTATTTGGACGGCTTATAGTTGGGAACACACTTAATAGCCCATTTACCTCCTTGTTGGGCTTGACCCATTACTGTAACCTAATGATCCCTATTTATTTTAACCGCTTCCTTCTCTTGGTCATAGAAATCCGTCCTCTGCCTTGCTACTTATGTGAAACGGTCTGCCTCTCTCTGTGTGTTTTCTGCTAACTGTTCCTCTTCTGCTTCAATGCCTCTGTGGTCATTTTTACATTGTAATTATATCCTTTTGTGTGTTCCAAGTGGGTGCATTAAGAAACAACCATAAGTGTGAAGAGGTTGAGGGAGTTTGGGTTGTTTTCGATTGGGTTGATATTACAGAAACTAAGCCCAGAATAGCCTTGGTGATCCTATATTCCGTACTACATTATCTTTACATATTTATTATTGTTTACACTTCTGCGTCAAATTATCTCATAAATAATCTTATTCCATATTTGGATAATGTTATCAATTGTAGCAAAGTCTTTAGTTTACGCAAGGCAACATAAAATAATATATTTAATAGCTAGATTTATTCAATAACTTGTTAGCAACTAATTTCCTATTGACTAATCCCCTCTTTAAAAATAATAAGAAGAAGAAGAAGAAAATTTTTTGGAATTCAAATATTATTTGTCATAGTCTGTTTTGAACTTGGAGTCATATGGATAAAATTAATTTTTTCTTATTTTTTGATGGAATTAAAGAATATAAACTCCTTGAAGAAAATATTTTTTGTTTAAGTAAGATCTTATACTCGACACTCTTTTGGTATATCATGAAAAACCACATATAATGTCCAAAACGTAATATTGTTACGAGATAAAATTATTATGTTGTGTGTGATATTCAGGTAACCCTATTTGCATTTTCTTCTCAGGAAAATAATAGCTGTGGCATGCTCAGCAAGATGCTTGAGGATAAGACTCGTGAATTAAGGTAAGACATGGATATAAATTAAAGCTTTTTTGTTACACGTATTGAAGTGCATTACACAGTTGAGATACAATAGGAATTGTAATAGGCAACTCAGTGGAGAAGATCTCCAAGGACTTGACATGGATGAGTTGATGAAACTGGAGAAAATGGTACCAGGAGGATTAAACAGTGTTGTGGAAACAAGGATATTATTACATACATTTTCGTGTTTTCTAGCGTTTCCTATTGTGTTTCTTTGTGCTAACATCTCTGTCTTTCAATGGAGAAGAATGAAAAGCTTTTGAAAGAGATCAGTTTGCTCAAGAAAAAGGCAAGACCACAAACTTTGTCCTTTGACGAAAAAATAAATCATGCTGCTCCTTGTTAAGAAATAAGCCCCGTAAAAAAATAAAATCACAACTAACGGCTTGGGTTTTCAGCTAAACTTTTGTGATATGCAGGAATCTAAATTATTGGAAGAAAATGCCATGCTGAAACAGCAAGCAGATGTGAGCGTTGATCTTTTATTTTCCAAATTTATACATCATTTCTTGCACTGCATGCATTAGAATTCAGTAGTGAATTCTCGCGTTCTCAAGTCGTTGAGTGAACAGTTTATGCAGAAATCTGAAGGCACCGTTTATGGTATTCATCAAAGCAATCCGTCCGAGTGTATCAGAAATTCTCATGGCTATGATACTTCCCTCAGGCTGGGGTACTTAAACGTCCATTAGCTTCTTGTAACCTACTTCTAATTTACACAAAAAGGTATTGCCGTAGTAGGGTGTAGTCTCAGATCTTTTTGACTGTATGCTCATGTTAATTTTGGCAGCTTACGTTTCTCCAACTGAAGATGATGCAAGGAGACCACAGCCCTGAAGATCAATTTTCTATTTCTCTTAATGGGATATAATCAATAAATAATGTGTAAGTAAGCTGAGTGTTAGGGCCCATGTTGTGGATCTACGTTCAGTTAGTTTGAACATTAAAATCCTTTGTGTTTGAATTTTCTCGTGCTATATGCTTATGCTAAAAACGTGAAATTTTGAATGCTTAACATGAAAATGAAAGAGGAAATTGTATATTTTTGGTTCTAATTTTTGAACAGGGGTTAACTCGACAATGGTCATTCGAGGTATTTTGAACAAGGGTAATTGACGCAAAACGTCCCTACCTTTCAACTTCATTGTGTAAAACGTCCTCACCTTTCATTTTTTGACATTTTTGCCTTCAAATCAACCTTTCATTGCGACGAAAGTCCTTCCGTCCAACTCCTGTCACTTCTACCGTTAATTAAAGAGAGAGACTCAATTTCTTGCTGGTCAATAGGGGTAAAATCGTCCTCACCCAACTGAACCCTTCTTCCCGCCTTCGTAGTCCACATAGTAACGGTAACTGGAAAATGGGTGTGAAAATACTTTAAATTATTACATTAAATGAAGGAAAAAATGTCGTGAAGAACATATATGGTGAAATCCAACCACCAGGTCCACCATTGCTGCTCTAATGTTGGGTTTCTAGAAAAATGTAGCAAGACATATATTGAATGGGTGGTCAATTTATAAAGACAACTACTAGGTTTTTGTTTCTAGTTTATGCTTATTGTGACCATGGGGTAAATGGCGAAGATCAAGTGGAAATGGGTGCTGTGTATTTATCATTTCAGTGGTACTGGCTCATTTTGGCTTATTGGTGAAGATGACGGGTCCTGTTCACTTTTTTTGGGAATCTAATGAACATTGCGCTAATAATCCCTACGTAGTTATAATTTTTCTTAAGACATCCCTACCTATAAAAAGTATTGGCGAGTGACGTCCCTACCTTTTAGAAAAATTTGCGAATAACGTCCCTACCTTTTTTAAAAATTTTGGTGAGAGCGTACCCTGTTTTCTTCCATATATCACCTGTTGATACACACCAACTCAAAAGTTCCCAAATATACAATTCTATCACAGAATTTGAAAACAATTCATCCACCAATTGACCGAAAACTGAAACAAAAATAACCACTACCTGTTGAAGCTAAAATAAACTAAAATTGAAGCAAAAATAGATACAATTCATTTCAAATGTGCAAAATATCCACTATGCAGCCAACATAAGTTCTGAACATCAAAATTAGGTTCATAAACACCAAAAATAGGTTCCTAAAGTGCTATATTGTATCCACTACCTGATGACAATTTGTGCACTGAACAACAAAAACAAAAGCCAAAAAATTAATAGAACTAAGCAGAGAGTTTTCATCCTAACAAGGTGCTGGAGGTGGGTTGATCATTGCTGGGCTCTCTCAGAAACGGAAGAAATGCGTTGTTCCTTGAAGCCCTGTGTAACAATAATAAACTTTATCAAAATCCTACACATACACTCAATCATGCAAAGCACCAAAATATGAAATGGAAAACGAAAATGCTGACAAATAATGATTCTTACCGTCGCGTCGCTTGTTGGAAAAACTCTCAACGTAGGTTTCCACTACGCCAACTGCTGATATGCGACCATACGAGAGGAGAATGGAGGAAAAATTGTAGAAATGGAAGAAAAATGGAAATTTTTGAAGAACTAGAAGGGAATGGAATGGGAACTGCCTCTTGTTGTTCGAAGAAAAAGATGAAAATGAAGGGTTCAGTTGGGTGATGACGGTTTTACCCTTGATGACTTGAAAGTCTCTCTCTTTAATTAACGGCAGAAGTGACGGGAGTTGGACGGAAGGACTTTTGTCGCAATGAAAGGCTGATTTGAGGGCAAAAATGCCAAAAAATGAAAGGTGAGGACGTTTTACACAATGAAGTTGAAAGGTAGGGACGTTTTGCGCCAATTACCCTTTGAACAATGTTAAATATATTTTATATTGTCAATGATGGAATGTTTACTTTGATAAAAATGTCATTTTCATTAATTAGATATATATATTTTTGATGTTACAGTTGGAAGCAATTGCCAACGTATTCAGGTTTTTATCCTTCTCCAATCAACTGAAGAACTTGATGTATGCATGTTTAGGCTTCATATATATTCTTCGAGTGGATTTTATATAATTTTATTTAAGATAAAAGTTGGTATTAAATATTACAATTCAGTTGATAATATTAGTTTATAACATTGTGAAAATAATTAATAAGCTCTAATTAATTATATAGTTTAACATGATTAGGCAAGTACAGCCAATATAAGTTTAGCACAACTAAGCTTTACATCATTAGCACAATGAGTTGATAAGTGTACTTTACACATTTATCTAGGCTTTTAAATATAGATGTTTTGAAGTACTTTTGATGAATTATGACATAATTTCTTTTATATTTTGTTTGTTAGGTAAGGCTCAATGATTGGAAGTTAAAAAGAAATGAACGAAAATCGACGAAAAAAGTGATGTCCAAAATTTAGGGATTAAATTGTAAATATTTAAAAGTTGATTTGGACTAAGGAGTGATGATTGAAGACCGTATGGAGTCAATCGAATGAAGTTCGAAGGCAAATGATGAAAAGTGCATAGAAAATGGACTATCTTGCACCCTAGAAAAAGGTTAGGGATCAACTGGTCCCATAAAAGTGAAAATGGTACGATTGCATCATGTAATTTGTTGTGTTCGCAGCCCCAAAACCTGCAGAATCCGAGGCTGAAACTGAAAAACCATGCGTGAGCAACCAATTTGCCCATGCATGTTTCTGGTTGAAGAGATAGTTTCCTTGTTTGATTCAAACACATTTTGGAACACGAATTGGACATTATTTCTAACGTAATTCAAGTCCCTATAAATACATAACATAGGAAAAACATAAGGCGTCTCTCTAGCCTCTCATATCAATGTTATAAAATCTTTCAAGAACAAAGGACCAATTCATCTTTTTGGAGAGAAGATCAAACCTAACAAGGACTTGAAGGCAAATTAAATCAAGAAGGTGAAGAATTAAGGCTTGAAATTGAAGATCAAGAAAAAGCAATTTTTTGTATTCAAATAAATTCCAGGTAATATCTTTTCATTATTCTTCTTGTAAGAACATTAGAAAAATGCTAGCCTAAATTTCATTTGTGCTAGGATAAAGATGAATCTTGTTGACCCCGGAAAGTGTACCTTTTACATGGTCAATCGATATTATGGTCTCTCACATTAATGCAAGCCTAATTCCTAAAGACTTGGACAATCTGTTATCTACATGCAACTTTTTTTGATGGGATGGAGTACGCTGAGCACTCCGATAGTCAAGTAAGTTGAGAAAATAGGTATATGAGTGTGGGAGAAATTTAGATGTGAGCCTCCAATGTAAGAAAATGGGGGTTGGCTCTGGGGAGTGATAGATAAAATAGTTATACGGCAAAGTTATAACTTGAGAGTCTAGACTTGCATTACCCTAAAATGATGCCAAGTGTGCGCTTTGATAGTAGAAGAGGGTAAGTAAGAACCTTTGGATGAAAAGACACGTGACCTCATCCTTGCAGTTGGGGCTTCTTGTCATAGGCATCAATCAGTCAAGCCTAAGCTCAAGTGCATTTAATATTATGACTATTTGCAGTCTTAGGCTTGACATGTAAGACTATACTTGTTTTGTTAATTTAGTAGAGCCTTCTATTCAATGAGTTGTCACATCATCCATGTAATACCTTAAATTTTTTTTTTTTTAAAAAAAAAAAGTCAAACTTGTCAAACAAAAAAAAAGAAATTAAAAAAAAAAAAAGAAAAAAGAAAAAGAAAGCTGCAGGCAATGCCCAAAACAAATCCATTCCCATTTGAATATATATACAATCCAAATCAATAAAAACACACACAACATATATTCAAAAGAAAATGAACCAGAGATAAAAAGGAAGAGAAAATAGAGAAAAAAAAGGGAAGAAGAAGATTAAGAAAAAGAAAAGAAGAGAAAGATTTCACCAACATGATAGAAAATAAGTTCTTTTACTATTAGGCTTGAATTCTTCAAAGTTAAAGGCGGCGATACAGATATCGAGACAGCTTACCAACTGAGTTGATTTTGCAAACATAGTTCTGTGAGTGGAAAACTATAAATATTTTTAAAATATTTATAAATTAAGTATATTATCAAAGTATGTGCAATTATGTGTTCGATTATATGATTATTATGGAAATTTCTTTTATTATGATATATATGATCATAAAGATTATTTATGGCACATTTGTGACTTGGTATGTAAGATATGTGATATTGAGATTTGTTTGGTATGTGAGACATGTAATATTGAGATCGACCAGAAAAGTACCAATGACTATATATTTCTTCTAGTTCACAGAGGGGCCTTGGCCGTATTCTATCCTATATGGAAGGGTCTTGACTGTGTACATATAGTTCACAGTAGGGTCTTGGCCATATTCTAGAATTAATTATGAGAGGTCTTTGAGATCGGCTTTCGTTCACGGAGGGGGCCAAAGGCCTATAGCGAAAGTTTTCAGCCTGAGAGGCGGATTACAGATTTCAGTCAAAGGGTACATTTTTGGTGGATTTTTCAGTTTATTTGATAGGATGAGATTATAGTATGGTTATCAGTTGATATTTATAGCTTGATTTTGAGATGACATTTGTGACGTATGTGAATGTCTTACGTTTTGGCTATAATTATATGATGTTATCTTGTGAGTTATTCAATGATATGAACTCAATTTTGATAAAAATGTAAAATTGAAAAAGTATAAATATTTTGGAACTTCTGCACTTACTGAGCTATCAACTCATATATATATTTTTTCGTAATTTTTCCTACAGGTAGCAATTGATTCTTTTTAGCTGGAAGAGCCTAATGATTTCGTAATGAGAGCCATACGACATTTTAGTGTTATAACTCATATTGATGAAGCGGGAAGTAAATAATTTGGGTCCATCGCATTATGTTTTACATAAGCATTTGATTTTGATGCATTTTTTGAAGTAACTCATAGCCAGCCTTGGTGATAAATTTGACATCTAGTCAGCATCTATTATCGACACACGTCATATTTCGGGTCCACTATGGTGATTCAAGACGGGTCGTATCAACCCACTTGTTACAAGATCTTGTATGAAGATCTTCCCTAAGATACCTCTATTAACCTTGCCCCATCTAGAGGTCTCGACTCCCCATATAGGTTC